TATATATATATATATATATATATATATATATATACAGTTTCATTATAACTGAAAAAAAGCAAGGGAAAAAGCTCAGTTCGCATATACAGATGTTACTAAAACTTTCTGTAAAAATGATAATGATAACAATCTAACCTATGAAAGCTAAAGTGTAATACAACTTCCAACTGTTCTAGCCACTAAAAGAGTGGAATTTTGGCATAAAGTACTAGAAAAATTTAAATGAAAATACGAATCTTACTTCAACACTATAATATAACTCAGTGAACGATAAAATTCAGGAATTATGAATGAAAATGTGCAATTTCTTTCATCGGTAAAAAACTGAAAATACTGTTGAAAAATTTTTATAAAAAAAAAAATCAGTTGTTCGAAAAAATGAAAAATCAACAAAAGACCTTTCTATAAATGTTCATTTGACAAAATAAATTGAGAAAAAATGGCAAGAATGATAATTCATTAATTCTACTACAACAAGACCATTTAGAAGTTACGGTTAGACGATAACGATTACAAAAAGATGATTAATTGTTATTATACCTGCATAATAAAATTATCCCGTAAATGACGTATCAAAAGTAACCAAAACACTTCCCTAATTACAAAATTATTAAGCAATACTATGAATTAAATAATGCCTATAAAGTTTTTGCATCTTATCTTGGAACCGAGATGTACACTTTGCCTAACAACTAAGCAGTAACCGTTATAACCGTTTCGCCACTGCTAATTACGCAGGCGCTTCACAAAAAATGTTAAAAACTGTCAGACTAAAAGTGAGTGAGCCGATGGGCAATGACTGCTGTCCAATAAAAATTTCTTCTCCTCCTCAATGTCACACCGCAAAGAACGTAAATTTGCAATAGTAAATCTGTGAGGAATCGTGTCACGAGACCTGCTCCCTTTCGAAAGTTGAGTTGATTTGCAAGCCAATAAATATGTTTGTGCAGTTATCTCCAGATATGTACAGTCATCACGAACCACAGCTGAATAATCAGGAATGAATGTCGCTGCCATTTTTTTCGGAGCATCACTGGGCGAATTGGCAGCAAGTGAATTACGTGAAAACGACACTGGGACCTGCTGGGCTATAATGCCTTGTTGTTGAGCCAAAATGATCAGACGATCAAGTAACTCATCACCAAAGCAGTGCCAAGGTCCAGCTTCAAAAGTCATTGCATTCTGGAAATTAGTACGAATGAATAGAAATTCGTAGAAGTCCCTGCTAGACATAAAAAAAAGCAGTACAAATAGATGCAAATCAAACCTGGCCAATAGTAACTATTGCTCTTCCTTCAAGAATTAAAATAAACTTTTCCGAAGGTTCCTGTTTTGTATAAAGTTTGGCAGTGCGAGGGATAACTGCTTTCGGATCATTCATATCCGGTAAATGGGAAAATTCCACCTAAACAGTTTCAAGAAAACACAAAATGAGTACTAGACAGGACTGCAGCTCCAAGGCGAATAAACTTTTGACAAAAAAGCTGCGGTTAACAACGCATAACTAAATAACTGCACTTACGAAACTGACCCTTCGCACATGCTGTTTGATAAGCCTCTCCAGGACATTTTGGGAAATCAACTCTGGATCAAAAGCCTTGTGGTTTGTTACAAGCCACTGCATAGTAACTAACTGCATTTGAACAGAAATGACTTGAGAAGGTCCATCGTGCTCGAATATGTACGTAAGATCACGTGCCTTAAAAAGGGAAAAGTATACAAGCAACATAAATTAAAACACTATAAAAAACAAATATTTTTTTGAAAAACACAAACATATCAAGTAGATAATAAAATGCATAAGAAACAATCAAAAGACAGCTGTTCCATAAATAATCAATTAGACCCATTCAAAAGCAACTTTGCAACTGATTGTGCCTCCAGAATCTTAAAGTCAAGTGCTACACTTACTTGAGCATTCCGCCTTCTTATTCTATTAACATTATCGGTAACAACATCAGTTTCATCCACAATTTCCGCTTGAAGAATTTCTTCGACTATGTCTTCAAGTGTGACAATGCCGACTAATTCGTACCGGGGATCCGACTCTTCAGGCTGAACAACGCGCTGAACCATCGCTAAATGATAATCTCCCTAAAACGAAAAATTAAAAAATTATTTATGAAAGGAAGTAAAAACAACAATAAAAACTTTAGAACATAAAAGACAGATCTTGACATTTCTGTCAAAAAATGTAAATATAACAGAAAAAGAATGTTCCAAAATACCTTCTTGAACTCTTCTAGCATAACACGCAATGGTGTATCGTGCATAACAAAACGGAGCGGATGTTCATGGTATCCACAAACCGTTTTGATAGTAAAATTATCGTCTGGATCAAGCAAAGCTAAATCTTTCACAAAAAGCAAAGAGACTACGTGGTTCCTGTAAACCTTTTTACAGTCAGCAACCGAGGCAAAAATATTCAATATTAAATTTTATAGACAAAACGAAAAGATGTAAAGAAGAAACCTGTCGCCAGAATAAACAGGTATGCGAGTGTATCCCATACGCAGTACTTCTGCAACAGTTTTTGTGTTCAAGACTGTGGTATCAGGTAACATGAAGACGTCCTAAACCTTTCCCAATGAAAGTAGCGCATTCCTTTCTTTGTATATTCTTAGAAAGAAACTAAACTGAAGTGGAAGAGAAAAAAATAAG